CACAAGGAATTTGTGAATTAAAATATAACTGTGAAAATCTCAAGGCTATTTATAGATAGCTTACTTGAGGGACACGGAACCCACTTTGGTGACAGTGCCCCATGCCAACAAATCTGAGTGCGCCCAAATTTACACACAACAAACTGAAGGTGATGGTTTGCCTTGAAAGAGATTTGCATGAGTATTTTCAAAAGGGTACATTTATTTACTATTTTAAACAAATCTCAAATAAGGTTCAATTTGAAATACGATTTGTACAAAACATACTAAAGGTAAAGAAAAGCCTAAGATGAATCAAGATTTAAAAAGAGCATGGAGAAAGCTATCTTTCAGAGTATCTCTTCTGACACATACTTAATAAATAAATAATTTATTCTACTTAAATACTTAATTGGTTAGACTAGAATGGTGGTTAGATACTTTTATGTTCTTGCCTATTTTACTAAGTGTTTTGGGTAGTGAGCCAAGGCTACCATAAATCAGTGCTTTATCAATCCAAATTTTAGTACTTCATTATAATTCATCTAGTAAAGTCTTTGAGAAAAGGTCAAATACTCACCAATGTTTCGGTGTAACCTGGCTCAGACTGATAACTTCATCGAGGATTTCATTTTTAGCTTTTTCGAATAGTTCATTCTAGGCAATATAGATCCAAGTTAGTAAGATTTTCATAAGACAGTCAATTTGCCCTGTCATGATTTTCAGGAATAACTAAAAGGAAGGTCTCTGAGAGGCTAGTAGGATGAGCTTAGGTTTGAAGCACGGAGGACCAGCAAATAATGCTCTTCTATTCTGGTCTCTTTTTTAGGAATGTCAATATTCAGACAAGGATAAAGAAACTGACATAATGTCTACCTTATTCACTTAATTCTGAATGCAGTTTTTCATATAACATTTGTTCAGATAACATATGTTATGTGAAAGTACCAATACACATTAATTTAGTGTATTAGTAAATTGATGCTGTGTTTTACAACTGATGGCATTTTAAAATCAAGGAAAACCAGGATTTGAATCCCACTAAATTAGAGTATATTTTCCCACAAATGCTGAAAAGGAAAAAAAGTTGATATACAACATTTAAAAGTTTATATTACATAAATACATTAATTCTATAAGACATTAGAAAAATATTCTTCATCTTCTTGGAAAATATTTTAAACACTTGTTTTGACATTCTATGATCCCTAATTATTTTTTAATATTATGAAAGAAATAATTTAAATTATTGTAGAAAAGGTAACTTCTCCTAGAAATGTATTTTTGCAGCTCTAAATTAGTAATCATGGTCAAAATCAAAGCAATTTAGCTTATCAGATTTTTCTCGTCAACATAAATTTTGTTAAGAGCACAATATTAAATTAGATATATACAAAATACATGAGGTACACAAGTATTACCCGGTCAAGTTCTCGTAGGCGAGGATAGTTATTCTTCCACTCAGTTTCAAGGTTAAAACGTGTTGCTGAGGAAGAAGAAAGATGTTCTAGTTTGAGGATTCTTTCTTTGCAATGACTAAAGGCTATCTCGTGTATCTTCTGCATTAAGTGAATATCTGAGTGCGCAGCTATGGCTCCTCAGTACTCTGGGCTCTCCACATCTCAGAATCTCATGATTGCAACAGTTTTTCAAACTAACCTCCTTGACTGTAGTTTCTCCATTTCCAATACACAAAACACACAGCTGAAGCAGTTTGGTACAGTAGCTAAGAGCACGGACTCTAAATTCATATCAGATTCAAACCCTAGGTCTATCCCTGTATGACACTGGTGCATTACTTAGGTAATTTACTCTGTGCAT